GGGGAGGGGGCAGCCCCACGGCTCCACGCGCAGGGTCCGACCCCGGGGCCCTGGCACCGCAGGCTCACCTTGTGAGCTGGTTTGGAAGGAAAAGTTCAACCTGCCTCGAAGTCCTCAGGCTGCACCACACTGTTCTCAGGGCACCAAGACCACGAGGGCAGGGATGCGTCTGTTCCCTGCCCCTAAACCCTGCGCTGAGCACATCCGGGGGAGTGTCAGCAGAAAAAATACAGCCTGACTGAAAATCTCCTTTTGTGTGTCGGCTCACCTTGTGAGCTGGTTTGGAAGGAAAAGTTCAACCTGCCTCGAAGTCCTCAGGCTGCACCACACTGTTCTCAGGGCACCAAGACCACGAGGGCAGGGATGCGTCTGTTCCCTGCCCCTAAACCCTGCGCTGAGCACATCCGGGGGAGTGTCAGCAGAAAAAATACAGCCTGACTGAAAATCTCCTTTTGTGTGTCCAGTGGCACTGAAAGCTGTTGCTTGCACATCTCTTCCAGGACAGCATCTCATCACTGCCATTGCAGAACAGATGTTTGGATTCAAGACAACTTCATGGTGAGCAGGGAAGAGGCACTTTTTGACCTTGGCATGTGCCACCATGGTGGGTTGCAAGGAGCTGAGCGTTGACAAATCAAAAGCAGTTTGCCCTTGGACATTTCACTGTAGCTGAGAGGGCCTGGGAGGGGTGACTGAACTGAGGAGAAGCTTGCTCTGTCCTGTCCCCCTCCAAGTGTGTGGGAAGCATCTTGTGCTATGTAAATAACAGGGAAAGGAGGAAACTTTTTTCAGTCACCACATTCCCAGCCCTGGGATGGCACCTAGTGCTGCACAGAGGGACCTCCCAGCTACTCTTCACTACAGCAGCAGATGTTCTTCATTGGTGCAGGGAGCTGGGCCGTCAGAGAAGTGTCATTGAGCTGGACACCCCCTCGATGACAGCAGAGCAAGTGGAGGCCCTGGAGAGGAGCGTGAACGAGAAAATCCGGGAGAGGGTACCTGTGGTGGTGAGGGAGCTGGCTGCAGGGGACCCAGAAATCGAAACTGTGAGTGATGGGGAGAGAGCTGATGAAATCTGTGGGACCAAGATAACGGGTGCCACCTTGTTTGCCATTGTCTCCTGGTAGGTGAGGAGCCGTGGTTTGCCCGATGACCACGTGGGGCCTGTGCGGGTGGTGGACATTGAAGGCATTGACTCCAACATGTGCTGTGGGACCCACGTCTCCAACCTGAGTGACTTGCAGGTGGGACTGTGGCTCTGCCCTCAAGATCCTCCACACATTCATACCCAGCACAGCAGAGGCCCTGAGACCTGGGGTCTGCTGGGAGCTGTTATAATGGTGACGGGGGGTGGGAGCCCCATGCTGGGGAGCAGCATCTATGTTGAACTCATGGTTGATTTTAGTCAGTTTATTCTTGGTGACAGAGCACAAATATTCACAAAAAGGCATAGTCTGGTAGGAACTTACCACCTGTGTGAGTATAAGCAGAGTCCTTTACTGATTTTCTTTTTAAGGTTATTAAACTACTTGGTACAGAAAAAGGGAAGAAGAACAAAACCAACTTGGTTTTCCTGGCAGGAAACAGAGTGCTGAAGTCAATTGAACAAAGTCACAGTACTGAGAAGGCCCTGACCTCACTGCTCAAGTAATACCCTTTCCACTTTTATTATTTGATCTTTACTATTCCTTCTGACAAACACCACACAAGCCTCAGAGTACATCTATGTGGTGCTTTTTCTTATGTTACCTGCTTTTGCTCCTTGAAGAAATAATTTCTTTGTCCTTCAGAGTGGTGATGCAAATTCTCCTTGTTCTTCCAGAAATGGACCAGGTGAGCATGTAGAGGCTGTGAAGAGACTGCAGAGTTCTGTGAAGCTGCTCCAGAAGGTATGAGGATGGCTGAGGAAGGCAGCTTGTGCTGCTTCTTGTAGACCTGAGCTTCAGCCAGGACAACAGGGAACTGATTCCTAGACATCACTTCTTGAGGATATTATGAAAACTGTTCCCATTTCTGGGAGCAGAGCTTAGTGCTTGCACTGATGTCTCCATCTGCAGTACAGTTTGTTTGCTTTTCTTTCAGAATAACTTGAACCTGCTTAGAGACATTGCTGTTTTGATAGCCCGGGACTTCAAGAGCAAACCTATTCAAAGTCAGCTGCTTGTGTTGCACAGGTATGGGGAGTTCAGGGAAAGGCTGAAGTGATATCTTACACATTCTGTGGCAGTTGTATTTCTCTGACATCTGCTTGCTCCTCAAGAAAGAGTATAAATTAGGTGAATAGAATACTAAATTGCTTCAGCCTGCTGGGAGGTTGTGTAATTAAAAGAATGTGTTAGTAATTCAGTCTCTGAATTCTTCTGGGTTTATAGCTAAGAAATAAGTGTCTGATTTCTCTCTGCCCTTGGTATATTCAAATAAAATGAGGAGCCCTATTTATTAAAGATAAACACTTAAGTAATTCCTGATATGTTCACACAAGAATGCTCAAACCAGGACGATGCATAGTAAGGATTTAGATGTACAGAAAAGAAACCCCAGGCCTGCTCAGGCCTTTGGTTTCTGATTGATACTTTGGACTGCAGAGAGGATTTTTACTTCTCTCTAAAGTATTTTTTTTTGTACCCATCCACACAGGAAAGAGGGTGACTCTGAATTTATGAATATAATTGCTAATGAGATTGGGACAGAGGTAAGTCACTAACCTGACACCACTGGCTTCCTCGTTCAAGCTGTGGCATAGGCAGGGCCAGGCTTCTCTCCTTACCACAGTCACAACCCACAGGTCTGTTTCCTCTCAAAAATTACATGAGGTTATTGTCCCCAGCAGCCTCAGTCTGCAGGGAAATAAATCCTCAACAGTCAGGAAATACACTAGTGAAACTACAGAGCACTGTAGAAGAGCCTGTCCCACAAGGAGCTGTACAGGATCTGATTTGCTGTAGAATAGAATAGAATAGAATAGAATAGAATAGAATAGAATAGAATAGAATAGAATAGTTCGGTTGGAAGGGACCTACAACTATCATCTAGTCCAGCTGCTAACTGTGTCCTTTGTATTTCAGATACCCCAATACCTGTTCTATCAATGTATGATTGAGCATAATAGGTTCAACTCTCCTGGCCCCCTCTCTTTTTCTTCAGATTGTAGCTCAGTCTCAGTAACACACGAAAACTCCTTAACTGTTTGCATCCTTGGTTGGGTCCGTTGGCCAGAGTCTCTGTCCTCTTCCTGGACAAGGCACTGGTTATTGTGGACAAGATCCACAGGAATCCTCTGTTCACAGGAAACCCTGCTGTTCCTGACTGTGGGGGATGAAAAAGAAGCAGGACTCTTTCTTCTGGCTGGACCTGTTGAAGCAGTTGAGAGTTTAGGTCCCAGGTAATGTGTTCTGTGGTTTCTTTAAAATTAGTACGAATTCTAATGTTGTAGACTAAGCAGCTGAGCAGTGTGATCAGGACATGGATCCTTGCTTGCTGTCTGGAGTAGGTCTGGCCAGGCCACTCTTCTCTGCGAGTGGCCTGTGCTGCTGTTACTGCAGGGTGGCAGAGCTTCTGGGAGGAAAAGGAGCTGGGAAGCGAGGCCGCTTCCAGGGAAAGGCCACCCAGATGAGCCGGCGAGGAGAAGTGCAAGCTCTGCTCCAGGAGTTCATCAGCCACCGAAGCCCTGAAGCATAAGAATCAATTCCTAAAGTAGGGCTGTCTTCCCTGCTTTGTATAAGTTCCACCAACTTTTCTCCCAGAGAATAAAGACAAAAACCCAACAGCTGGTCTGCATGTGCTCTGAGTGAGCTGAATTGGTGCTTGCAGAAAACTGTGGGTGGAGGGATCTGCAATCCCTGCTTTGCTGCAAGGGTTCTTTCATTTCCCCAGGCAAGTGATGCACACTCTGAAGTGATTAAAAACCTGACCCGACAGGTAGGAAATTCAGCTTCTTGTATCAGTCCTTTTCCTCGTTGAGGTGTCGTTGTTACTGATCCATTTCTCTACATCAGGAGTTTCTCCAGCTGACGGAGATGTCAAATCCTCGGGATCAGGCAAAGCTCCTCCCCAGCGCTTCCTCCACCGGCGTTTTCTGCCGGGCGGATCTTGAGGCTGCTGCAATCTCGGCGGCAGAACTAAAGGGCGCTGTGGAGCCACAGTGGGGAAAAACAGGACGGGTAATTCGGAATTTTTTTTCCCCCTTTTGCTAAAATGTGCTGCAGACGTCGGGAATAACAGAGAAATAGAAGAAAAGAAGCCTCTATCCCAAGATGGTTTGTCTGTCACGAGCAAAGAGAGCAGCAGCCCCAGCACAGGGGAGAGCTTTGCCGGCTGCCGAGGCGGGGGGAGTTGTGGGGGGTGGGGGCTGCACCCGCGGGGGTTCTGCTGGGGAAGAGCAGTGGGAGAGCCCTGGGAGCATGGGGCTCGCTGTGCATTAGCTGCTGCAGCCTGCCTGAGCCTATGGCACGACTGGCTTTGTGTGTCTGTGCCATGGGAGCCACCCAGCAGGGCCACCAGCCTTCGCAGTCGCTCCCAGTGTGGAGCCAGTCAGCCAGTCTGTCCAGATTTAGTGGGGAGCAGTGGCTGGGTTGCACCCCTGGGCTGGTGGGTGTCCACTAGCCCAGAGTGAGGGCGATCACCTGCCTGGGCACACCATTGCCTGCAGGGACATCCCTAGACAGCCTTCTTGTCCTGCGTGGCCAGGAGCTGCGAGAGGCAGTAGGGGATGAGGCCGACGGTGGCCAGCGGCACGGCCGCGCTCTTGCAGAAGGAGAGGACGTAGAAGAGCAGCTGCATGTGGGAGGGTGGCTTGAAGGCATCAAAGACGTGTAGGATGAGGAGGGAGGTGGTGATACAGCCCAGGCGGAAGGGCAGCTGCTGGGCCTGCTTCCCCCGACAGCTCTCCAGGTACATGTGGGAATTGAGGGCCAGCCCCAGCCCAAAGAGGATGCCCAGGTTACGCAGGAGGCTGGCAAAGGGGGTGGTGTCGATGTGGACCCACTCAGGCTGGGCACACCACTTCCGTGCCTTCTCCAGCGTCCAGAGCAGGTCCACGTTGACAGCCCGCAGCAGCAGATAGAAGCCCAGAGCAAAGCTGAAGAGGAAGAAGGTGATGCCCAGGTATCGGCGGAGGCTGGCATGGTAGATGAAATGGATGTGCTGGAAGGTCTTGGCCACGACCATCCCTGGTAGAAGTGAAGCAGGAGAGGAGGCAGCACTGATTAGTAAGAGATCACTGCTTTGGGCAGTGGAGACACATGGACCCTGCAGCTCTGGGTGCTCTGGTGGGGGACAAGCCCTCCAGGTGCTCCTGTATGGTCCTGACTGCCCCCACGGCTACTGTTGTGCCGTGTTGCTTACAGATGGCAAATTCTGCACCCTCACCTATAGACAAACCTTTCACACCCCAAACCTTCCCTGCCTCTGCCTTCAGGCCACGTTCACTATCCCTCAGAGCCCAGCAGCAGCTGGCAGTGCCCTGCCCACCTGACTGGGACTCATGCCTCGAATGGGACAGGGACAAAGGCATGTCCTGGAGGAGATCCTGCCTGTGACGATGAGGGCAGTAACTGCTGAGCTGTGGATGCAGCTTTGTGTCACCATCGTCCATGTGTCCACCAGGCCATGCATCCTTGCTGCAGTTCAGCATGGCAGTGCCACAAGGAAGAGGATGGGGGCTCTGGTGACTCACCTGAAATGACCCCTGCGATGACCTGATGGGGGAAGTGGGCAGCAATGAAGACTCGGGACAGGCAGACGCAGACCTGAACTGCCCAGAAGCCCGTCCAAAGCACCATCCACAGCATCCTGTGAGAGGCAGGTGGACAAGTTGGTGTCACGGTTGGCTCATAGTGTACCCCGAGCACTGCCCGCCCAGCTCCTCCTGCACACCCCACGCAGGTACCAGGACCTTGACATCTGCCCACGGACTTGTCCCTGGATGGGCTCAGCTGTGCCAGCAGCTCCAAGCAGCCTCTGCCCAGCATGGCTGGTTTTGGCACACAGCTTACCAGTATTTGAGTGTCCTCGACTGCTTCTTCCCCATGGCAGCGGAGAGGAGGGCTGTCACCATCACGTAGTACACGCCTGCTGCACCCATGGCATGGCCAGAGGGGCTCCCTGGGCAAGATGAGAGCCTCAGGTCAGACCCCTGGCTCAGAGAGGGCTGAACCCTCACGTTGGGGGGCTCCCAGCCAGCAGTCCAGGCTCCAGGCACTGAAGCACTGCAGGACACAGCACTCAGTACCTGTCTGCCAGTGGCTGTGGCCACCTCTATGGCAGGTGCCCAGCTCCATCCCTGGGACAGCAGAGCAGGGGCAGTGTGGGAGGGTGGCTGTGGCTCCATGGCCCATCTGCTGGGCAGGATTGTGCAAAGGGCACTGGCCATCCCCAACAGCTTGCACTGATCATGCCAGGAACCTGCAGCCCTTTCCCAGCTCCCATGGAAAGATACTGACAAAGTACAGGCAGAGTGAAGAACTGGGCAAGCCCCTTCCCCACGGAGCACATGCCTGCAGTTGGGGCTGGAGGGCAGATCAGGGCCCTGGCACAGGCCAAGGCTGTGGCTGAGCACGGGCCAGGGCTTGCGCTGAACTGCCACGTCTACGCCGAGGGTCAAGGTCTGCTCCATGCAGGGGCTGCCCTGCTCCACCCATGGTGAGCACGGCTGGTGTCCCCGGCAGTGCAGCGGGGCCAGCCCCGTGTCTTGGCCATAACGGCCCCACTCAAGAGCCTGCCAGGAGTGTGTCCTACCAGCAGGCTGCCAGCCTGCACCCCATGGCATGGTGCCATCCCAGCACCTCCACTGCAGGGACCAAGACCTAGCGTGGGGACCTGTGTATGCAGGTTCCTCTGGGTAAGTGCCCACTGCCCCCACTGGGGCTGGGAAACCCTGTTGGGTCTGGGGGATCCTGCAGTGGGGCTCACGGACCCCATAGGGGCTGAGGGACCTACCAGGGCCAGTCTCACAGGTGAGTGGGAACTGCTGGATTGCTGGGGCTGATGTGTTGCTATAATAGTCTGTCTCATGGACCCACCAGTATGGCCTCTCCCCAAAAAGGATCCTGAAAAGAAAATAAAATGGGGTCTGTAGAGGTCCTGGGCACCAGAGCAGGTGGGTACAGCTGCAGTTTCAGCTCTGATCTGGGAACTGTAAGAGGCAAGGGACCCATGAGTGGTCCAGGGTGTCCAGACACACCATCCAGCTAGTCACTTGATCCCAACAGCCAACATTGCCTGTCCATAGCCCCAAAACCTGGGAATGCTGAAATGAAGCTGGGGAGCCCACCAGCACACAGGCAGGAGTGACTGCTATCACTGCCAGACTGGGGGCAGAACTCCGGTCTGTGTCTTACGTCAGTGTCAAGGCTAAGAGCACACATCTGGTCCGTATTTGTCCAGCTGTGCCAACACACCCAGAGGGAGCCATGGCACAGGGCCACTCACCACTTGAAGATGAGGTTGAGCCAGTCACCGATCACAGCCACCCAAATGAGCCTGATGCCCACTGCCTCGCTGACATGGAACCAGATTGGGAAGAGGACGAAGAAAGCGTTCCTGAGGTCAGCGGCGAAGGAGATGAAGAGGAACCAATCCTGGGACCCCTGGAAATGCTCCTGCAGCCAGTGCGTCACCTGGACACCCGTGTGGTGCAGGAGGTTCATGTTGGCCTCCATCCTGCTCTGCAGTTGCTGCCCCTCGGCGCGCCTCAGCCTGCCCTGCGCTCTGGGGTTTTATACCCTGCAGGCTCTTGTTTGCTGCAGGCAGGTCGCTTGTCCCAGCACTGATCTTTGGACCCAAAACCACTTTTGCCAAAGGTGCATCACCAGGGGGTTGTTACAAACATGTTTAGAACAACTTACGTAAAAGGGAAAAACAGCTTTAAGAAGTGCAGGGAGCCCCGGCACCAGCACCTTAACCCTTCCCACACTGTCCCCTCTGCAGCACGTGGCCCTGCTCCTCCTGCAGCCACACGCAATGCTCCAGCTGCTCCTGCTGAGCCCCAGCATTCACCATCAGGAAGGAGATCCAAGCACTGCAGAGCTGTCACAGTCCTGAGCCATTACATTCCTCCCGTCCCTCTGCCGTCACTCCAAGCACCTCTGGAGCATCACAAAGATGTCCAGGAGTGTGGACTGGGTTGTGGAGACGTGTGGGCGTCTGGCTGTCCAGCACCCCTACGGCAGCTGAAACCTCCAGCTGATGAGAAAACACCTTGCTGCCATGGCATCCACCAGGCTGATTTAACTGGGGCTCTGCACAATGGGAAATTTTCCAAGCCATTTCTGGAACTCCCTGCAGCCTCAGACAGTGAGGCCTGGGGAGCTCCTGGCTGCCAGCCATGCTGTTCTGATCTTCGATGTGGGGTTAAAGGACCTTTGCAAATTAGGTCCTGTAGGAGGGGAGGCATTCCTCCCAGCACAGCTGCCTGGGATTAACTCTCTCCTGCACCAAACAGCCCTATCAAACCCTGGGATGGAGCTGAACACAGCACTTGTGCATCTGGTGTCAGATCCCTGCCCACGGCCTTTCCCCTCCCCGGCCATGCTGCGCTGCCACTGGCAGCGGCGCCAGCACCAGGTTGTTACAAACATGTTTAGAACAACTTACGTAAAAGAGAAAAACAGCTTTAAGAAGTGCAGGGAGCCCCGGCACCAGCACCTTAACCCTTCCCACACTGTCCCCTCTCTGCAGCACGTGGCCCTGCTCCTCCTGCAGCCACACGCAATGCTCCAGCTGCTCCTGCTGAGCCCCAGCATTCACCATCAGGAAGGAGATCCAAGCACTGCAGAGCTGTCACAGTCCTGAGCCATTACATTCCTCCCGTCCCTCTGCCGTCACTCCAAGCACCTCTGGAGCATCACAAAGATGTCCAGGAGTGTGGACTGGGTTGTGGAGACGTGTGGGCGTCTGGCTGTCCAGCACCCCTACGGCAGCTGAAACCTCCAGCTGATGAGAAAACACCTTGCTGCCATGGCATCCACCAGGCTGATTTAACTGGGGCTCTGCACAATGGGAAATTTTCCAAGCCATTTCTGGAACTCCCTGCAGCCTCAGACAGTGAGGCCTGGGGAGCTCCTGGCTGCCAGCCATGCTGTTCTGATCTTCGATGTGGGGTTAAAGGACCTTTGCAAATTAGGTCCTGTAGGAGGGGAGGCATTCCTCCCAGCACAGCTGCCTGGGATTAACTCTCTCCTGCACCAAACAGCCCTATCAAACCCTGGGATGGAGCTGAACACAGCACTTGTGCATCTGGTGTCAGATCCCTGCCCACGGCCTTTCCCCTCCCCGGCCATGCTGCGCTGCCACTGGCAGCCGGGCAGCTTGAACACCCGGTTCCTCCCCCGGGAAGTTAACGGTGAATGAGTAACATGGAGGGCTCTTTCCAGGAGCCCAAGGACAAAGGGTCAGCCCGGTGGGGGGAACCTCCTTCCCCAGCTCTGTCCAGCCACCACGGCCGCTGGGCACAGACACGCAGCCCAGCACTTGCCGCAGCTGAACAGGCAGTGGCCGGTCCCCGGGTGAACAGGACATAAGGCGTTAATGATTAGCAGCCAGTGAAAATGCATCACTTATCTCTCTCCTCGAGAAAGTTCAGGTCAAGATCCTTGACCCGCTGCCCTGCGCTGTTTGCCAGGGTGCGAAGGCGGCAGAGGCCGCGTCTGGCACAGAGTCCTGCCCACCTGCACGGCATCCAGCCCCCCGCACAGCCCCAGGAGCCCCTGCAGGGCACTAACACAGCAACTCTTCCTCCTGGGAATACGGGCACCGGCTGCTCTTGGAGCTGGCAGGCCGAGGAAGAAGGATAGTGTTCGCAAACGGCCGTGCTCCGCT